AATCCTAGAACTGTAGACTCTATGTAGAATTTGTAGTTTTCAAATGACTGGGATAATGTGGAAAGTTACCTACATTTTCAAGGAAAATAGTGGCATTCTTGGTGGCATTTTGATCCCAGGAATGGAATTATTTACTTAAGGAAATGATTTTTGACCTCCTTTCTCCTTGCTTTGACTTTTTGCTGTCAAGTTACAAAATTCAGCAGGGTACATCATACAGGCAGCAATACAATGAAGAAACCTATTGAATATATTTAATTGAGTGCCAATTCAAGGAAACCAGAGAAAATTGCTATACAACTGCTGTGTGAGTTGGCTGGTTTTAAACTAGCTTTAGGTGAATGTAATTAACATCACTGCCATGTTTTTTGTGATTGATTTTTTTAATAAGGTTGTGAACTAGACAAATAAAAATAAAAGAAACATTCTACTGTATTTCATATTACCTTAAAAATCAGGTCCAACAGTTTACAAGTCCAATAGGTGTATGACTAGGCCTTATTATCCTCCACACATCTCATATTTTGATTGATTTGACTTTTTGGAGATAAATGTCTTGTGTCACATATATAGCACAAAGCATAACACAATATAATGCAATTTCATCAAGGATCTTTTGTAATTGCTTACTACACATAGCTGTGCATGATAGATAGAAACAATAAAAAATAAATGAAAAATATTCAAGCAAACAATGTTAGTTTCTGAAATGTTGATTTTTGTTTTCCAATATGTCCAGATCTGAACACTCAGGAAACATCAATCTCTTCAGGAATGCATTAGGAACTGTGGGATAGAATTGATAAAGAGCTTACTTTTCACAGATTTCAAATCAATAGTGGGGACTTTAAGGAAGGCAACTGCTGGCTGCTGCGTGGGGTGTAAGGTACACTTCTGAGTGCCTGGAGCAAGGTCATCATATTTATCAAGTCAATTCTTTTCATTTTGGTTGTTTTGTTGAGACAGTGTTAGGAAAGCAGTTACAAAGCTTCTCTTTAAATTAGTGAGAATACGTTATCTGAAAATGGTATAGTTTAAAAATCAGTAAGTCATAAAAACTAATTTAAAAAGTAGTTTATCATATAAGAATTTAAGGTTTTTATTTCAGAACCAAACTCTAATTGTATTGCTGGATAGCTGCCTGATACATACTTGGATATGGTTGGACTGTAGTAAGCCTTCATTTGTTCACAAAACTAAAGTTATACAAATATAATTTTTAAATGTATCTGTTATCCCTTTGTACCCTGGCTTCCTAGTAGCAGTGGTTCACAAAATACTGTTCCGTACAGATGAACAACCAGCCCCCCACTTTGTGCAGTCTGTGGTAACAGAGACCCTCAAATAAACTGAGTTGGTTTTGGTTACTATACTTTCATCTCATCTTGTCCCACCTAGTGCCTTTCTTTCCCTTTAGACAGAACCACGAAATATCCGGGAGAATCTTAAAATAGGGAAAAAGATGCTGAAAACTGAAGTGGCTTTTCACACTCCTGTGAAGATCTATCCCTTATCACTGAACCATGAAGGCTGCAAAGCTTCTTCAGTCATCTCTAGTCCACCACCCTGCACAAAGCAGGTCCAAGCTTTGTCCAGGCGGGCTTCTGCTGGATAGGAGCTGTTCTGCCTAAGAGATGTGTTCCCAGAATGTGCCATCCTCCTTGTGAAAATGTTTGCTTATAAATCAAGATTTCCTGTGTTGTACCTGCTGTCTGTTGTCATTCATCCTAGTGATGTGCACTTCTGTTCCTCTGTGGCCCTTGACAGTATTGAGGCAATTAATTCTCTTACTATCTCCTCCTTTCCTGTCATTTAGCTCAGCTTTGGATTTTTCCATTAGCAATAAGAAAAATGTATTTTGTCTTTAAAAACTATTAGTACCTCTAGCACTTGAAACACATTCTTTGTACTAACAGATATTTAATATCATCCCGTCATTCAAAACGGCAAAGTTGTTGCCAATTCTGATTCCAAGATGAAGGGTAATATTTAACAAATTTTCAGTGTAAGTGACAACTCCAGACAATATTCTATATGACAGCCTAATATACAGACCCCTTGTGACTATTTGTAGCAACACATTTTTTAGAGTTTTTTTGGGAATTTTATTTTACTCCTTTTTCTGGCATTGTAAGATATCTGGCTTTCTGTCATGTTAAGGTTTACTCAATGTTGTCTATTCATGGGGTATGTGAATTTCTAACTTGGTGATCTTGACTGTGGCTTCCAATTCCTGTAGATATTCTCAGCAATAATATGTGGTGTTCCTAAATCAGTGACTAGAGGGAACCATGTTTACCTGGCCCCTTTCCTTGTGCCTTATATCCTGGGGCATAAGGGCTCAGGGATATAATTTGGCATCTGTTTCTAATTTTGATTATAAATACAAGAGAGCTCGTTATGTTCTCTCAGGCCTTCAAGTTTTCTGTAAGTAAGGATAAGTGCAAAGTGATGGGTGTTCCACTAGGATTGCCAGCTGCTAGATCTTAACAGAACCACAGCTAAGGTCATAACTAATTCATATTAGCTACAGCTTCATTCAGCTGAGGATTTGTGCTCATGGACAATATTTTTAATTGGTTGCTGAATGACTTGTGGGAAAGTCCCATTTTCTTCCATTTTGGTGCAATGTAGTTATTCTCTAACCACAAAGCACAGGCTCCTTTATTCTTTCAAAGACTCTGCTTGTTCAAGGCTGTTGACAGCTTTTCATCTTTGGGATTTTGATGTTTGGATTTTTTTAAATTTTTTGGTTGATTTTTTTGGTTGCTTGTTTTGTGAATCATGTATTTGAAACATGGGATCATTTTGATTGTATAAAGTTAAATAAGATGGACTGTTTAGAACCCTAGCACCTAGATTCTCCTTTTGTTTTAGTTTGACTATTTGCATTCTGTGAGCAGATCTGGTTTTTCTTTTTTTTTTCTCTGCTGTTTCCATTGCTCTTGTTAATTCTGCTGCTTTGGGCCATGTTAAATTTGCTTTTGCCAGGAATCATCTTTGGAATCTCTCATTATTAACAGAGCATTCATTCTCTCAGTATGTCCTCTAGGACATTTCTAAATGGGCAATATTCTGTTAGTCTGTTAGGCTGTCACATACACAGTTGTAGTATTGTCATATTGCTTTTTCCTATAATGAAATATTTTTACAATGTGTTTGGTTTGATATGTTATTCTTTCACAATTATTTGTACATCTTCTGAGGTTTTATCTCCTGCTTTCTGAGACTGCTACAAACTGCTTAAGACAGAGTAAATTTAACCCTTTATATGTTTAGGAGAGTTATGTGTTCTCTGTAATCTTGTATGTGAAAAAAATTGGCTCAGGGTTTCTATATATTGCTGCCCTTTCCTGCATTGAACTGTTCATTTTTCCTACAAACTATCATTCTTATTTTTTTTGGTTTTGTTAGTATTTATATTAAAGAAACCTTTAGTTTAAAAAAGCAAGCTGTACTTACATCAATGAAAAAACTCTTGCTCTATTTCAGCAATATGAAAACACAATCGAGGAAAAACCACTGTGTAATTAAAGAGTAAAGAGATGAAAATGCAGAATTGCTACATCCTGTCTTGCTTTTAGTTAATTTCCTGAGATGCTACCTGTTAACTCTCTGGAATAGTTTATTCTGGGCACCACAGGGTTGTTGTCCAGTGTGCCTTTGAAGGATGTATGCTTAAAATAATTTTTTAAATGATCATTTTCCATCATTAATTGCAATTTGAAAGAGTAAACATATAATTGATTTGGTTTTGAAATTATTGCTCTTGTAGGTAATTTGATAGTTTGTGTGGATTTTATATGTCTTTTTCTCAGTGTAAGCCAGAAACTTGCCCTGTAGGAATTGTATGTCTATTTTCTCTTCTGGAAAAGCCATTTAGGTAAATTTCAGCTTTTTTGAAGCAGTTGATGTTCTCTTTGCACGCTGAGTGCTACACATCACATTGCTGGAAGCTATGAATGTCCGTAGTTTTATTTTATAGGACAGTATCAGGCATGAGCTGTGGAATATGCTGCATTTAGGTCTGCCAACACATAGACTTTAGAGCAGATAAACCATTAGCAAAGCCATTGGTGGCCAAATGCAGCCTCATGAGTGACAGCAGATGAGATGATTCAAATGTGACCTGTACAGTTTACAAATTCTGACAACTCTTACTCTAGACAGCAGCTAAAGCCCAAGAGTGCCTAAAGGAACTTCATGCAATAAGAACTTTTTTAGATGCAAAACTTAATATATGGTTCCCTTGTTCATCAAAAATTAATGATAAAATATTCATTTTCTGTAAGGGTGTGACTCAGAAGTCTGTCCAGATGTCCTGGTTCTGGCCAGGACAAGGTTAATTTTTTTCAGTAGCCAGGAGGGGGCACGGCTGGGACACTGAGATTATTCTATGCCACCTCATGGAATTGCTGGGGGCTGAAGGAAAGGGATTCCCTTCCAGGGAAAAGGGGCTCCTGCCAGTCAAGAAAAAGTGGCAGCTGGAGCAGTCTGGTCTTTGTTTATTGTCAGGGCCTTTACGTGTAAATTGTTTTTCTTTCTTATACCTTTTGTATTAATATGGTGCTGTTACTGTTCATTTTCTTATTTCATTGCTCTTTCCAGTAAATCACCCTTACCTCATGAGACCCATGATCTTTGCCTTTTGTGCCTCCATCTGGAGTGGGGTGGGAGGGGGAGCAGTTGCCTGGCTTTATTGTGAGACTAAATTGGAAAATACCATTTCTAAACCATGACACTAGGTTGAACTGTCTTCTCTGAATGTCCAAGGGGAGACTGAAATCCTGGCTTTGGCCAGGCAAATTTCTGATGTGTCACCTTCCCAACAGATCAAACCCTTTCATTATCAACATCTCTTCTGGTTCCCAGTCTCTCTTCTGTCTCATTTCTCTCTCCACCTTACATTTTGACTTTTAAAAAATTATTCCTAATTAATAAGTAGGGCTTTTTAACTATTGCAAGTTTAGCCTATTTTAATGATTTTTTTCTGAGTTTAGTCATGCTTTGTGTCATCAACTTCCACACATGGCCCTTCAAATGACAGACAGGAAAAAACATCCCCAGACTTTATAAAATTATATGTAAGTACCTTAACAGTACTTAACCTCTTTTTATACAAATTGCTTTTTACATTAATTTTCAGTATTTATAGACATCCATAATTTTATTTGCATTAGGGTTAAAGAGAAAAGAGATTCTGAAAATTATGCAAATTGAGGGGTACTTCAGATCTGGAAAATATAACCTGACTTTGAACTCCGGAGAAGCACAACAGAGCCACTACATCTGGTTTCAGGTAAGCACATACCTGAAGAGCAAAGTGATTTTGGTAGTTGCCTGAGACCTTTTTTTTAGAGCCTAATGCAGTCAGGCACCCAACTGTTGTTGCATTTCCAAAGAAATCAAGTTCCTGTATCCCTTAGTCATCTTTCATAATTCTAACCTATTTTGGGCATACCTTTTATCTAGTCATAGGAAATATATACTCTCCAAATATGAGAGGAAATACTCAATTCATTTATTATTTATTAGAAAGAAATATTTAACTATTTAAATGCTTAAATTGAAAAAGATCCAATCTAAGCCAAAGCCAGCCTATCATTTAGACCCTTGTATGGGGAAAACCATTTCAAGTTATTTATATTTTATATTTCTCTACTCAGCAGGTTTTGAGGGCTGAATGTTTTGGTGATTTACATGCAATAAACCTGGGCTCTTTTCCAGGCTCTCCCAAAGGCGATTTTAGTGACCTTCGGCAAGTTCATGGCAAATAAATAATGGGATTGAACCTAATTTCCTTTACAAAGGAAAGCACTGTGGCTATAAGTATAAATGTTTATATACTCATCTGAGATGCTGCAGTAAAAGAGTCCTGTCAACCACAAACCAGCATTATTTATTGGAGTGGCTAAGATTGAATGATGAAAATGCTAACACTATCTACTCAATCTGCATGCTTGTTAGTGTGTCATAAACACAACACTTCCCATCAAATGCACTCTTCCTGATATGAATCAAACGTTTTTATTACAGTGCTCTGCACTATTCATCAGTCTGACTCCCTGGCCTTAACTGCCAAATACAAAATGCTTGTGATTTTCAGCAATGTAACCACATAGCCATGTGGTTTTGGTTAGAGTAATGGGCTATCAGCAAAACACATACAAAAAATAATTACAAACATTTAAAACTGAATTCTGGATGTTTGTACCAGCAATACAATTCAGGTACTTGTTTCTGCAATCAGTGGGCATGGCCTAGTTCTGTACATGGATTTTTTTAATTCATAGCTTGAAATGGACCAAAATGCTCATAGAGAATCCCTATGTGACACTGTTAGTTTCACTATCAGACATGGGATGGTCTGTTGCACTTGCAGATTTTATCCTTCCCTGTACATGACACCTGTGTTTTCTCTATTTCTCTGTTTAACATGCTGAACACTTTGGGTAGGCAATCCATGCGAATACAGGAAGCTGCTATTGCTAACAATGTATACGTCAACAAGAAATGGCGTTCTAAATCTTGGATTCTTGGATCTGTAAACCCTATTGAGGACAATCAGTGCAGATGGCAAATATTTTTTGTATTAAAGCTCAAGATAGGCAGTTTGCAAGTTTTAGAACAGAGACCAAGACTCATTGACAATCTGGAAAAAAACCCCATTCTCTTGAAGGATTCTATCAGAAAACAAAACTCTGCATTTCATTGGCTTGGTTACTGTCACTTTCGGTTAATTAATCCCTGTGTCAGTGCCACGCTCTCTTAAGGGGTTATGTCCAGTGCTGAACACCAAGTGTTGAACAATCAGTGTTCTTCACCTTGTGAAAAATCTCCAAAAGTGTGTTATGCGTGGGAGGTGCAAAAAGTCAAGGTTTGAAACACAGAAGCAGCTGTAAACATTACACTTTTCTAGGTGTTTTGTGATTATAGGAAACCTGTGAAGTTGTTGTCTAAGAGGTTACAGTATTGTAGAAGGTCTATTTATGTTTATTGCAAACACATTTAATTGGGTACACAGAAAAAAATTGGAGATGTAGAACAAATGTGAGAATTGTTATGCATTTTGTGCTCTAATTGAAGAAAAATTGTACCAATGAGATCATTGCATTATTTTTGAAGGAATTTCTCTTTTCTTGTATGAAATTATGATTCTTGTGAAGACAGAGACATTTGATTCTCCTTTGGAACTAACCTTGTGTAAAATGAGAAGGGTAATCTTTTGCTCTTGGTAGAAAGCAAGACCTTGATAAGACATAAATAATTTTAGAACTTCCCAGTGACTGTGAGCAAATTACTGATGCTCCCTGAGGCTGTTTTACTTGACTAGTAGAAAAATACTAAGTTTTCTATCTCTACTCTTGCAAAGTTCATCTGTTGAAAAAGCTTTTTGTTATTATTGCAGTAAAAAGGGATTGTACCCTCTGTTGGAGGGTGTGCTGCAGCAAGGAGGGAAGTAAGCAAAGGAATGTCTAGAAAAAAATGGATAAGTTTTCATTTAGATGCTTTCAATCCCATGTTTTCACATTTCCTTATATTTCTTCCCCAACTTGAGCCCCAAGTATGTACAAAAATTCCTTGGTGGAGGATTTTATTTAATAATCCAGGGACACAGAAAAGAGACATTGTACCCCACAAGCTGTTTGGCTCCAAAGCTGACCTATAACCACACTGCTGGCACCAACACTGCTGCTACCAAAAGGAAATGCCACAGAAGCTTTGGGGCTTTTCTAAGAGCCAGTTCTGGAGAAAAGACAAAACCATCTAAATATTTCAGTTAATCTTAATCATACTTTTTTTTTTTTTTTCTGTTTAACAGCTCCACTTTGAGAATTTCACATTTTTAATGGTCAGCTTTTAAAACCTGGGATATAACTATCCTCTAACTCATGTGTGCTGAAATGTCCTTTATTCCCTATTAAGAAGTCTGGGTAATACTGGTAGAGAAACATAGGTGAACACAATCAAAAAATCTGTATTTATATTTTTGTTCCAGTTCTTTCCTTTAGTAATTTTTAGGTAGTCTCTCTATGTATGGCTCTATGATTCATTCTTGTTTGAAAAATACCCAGAATTTCAAACTTGCTTGGACTTGGTCCGTCTCTATGGGTTGTTTTATATTTTTTTGACAATATAGTTTAAAGGAATAAGTCTGGAAATACTGACATGACTTTTGTTTCAGTTTGGTACTATGCAAGAAACAATTCTCTGTGAGAGGACTTCCAATCTGAGAAATGGGCCTTATAACATCTGTTTTGTACAGCAGGCTGTGTGGGTTAACTAATGAACTCTGAAATAATTATTACTGAGTTTTTGAATATAAGTTCTATCTGTAAAAAAAAAAAAAAAACAACCCAAAACCTAAAAGAAGACAAACTTAGCATTTCAAACATCCTCGGAAATGTGAGGGCACAGAATGACCTGGAGGATGCCTGAGTTTTAGAGAAAAACTGGTGATTAATTTGTGTAGCATCAAAGTATCCCTTGGTAAGTATGAAAACTGGTATTTCCATGTAAGTTTGGGAAAAAGTCAAAATAATACAATTCCTCCAAAGTGACAAAGGAATAAAATCAAGGACACCTATAGCAGTACTTTAGTTGTTTTTATTCTTACAGTGGTGCAAACAGAAACTGTTGAGCCATTTGCAGTCTGGGCTCATGTGTGTCATTTCCCAAGAGAACAGACACCTGAAGGGTTTGATTTTAAAACACCATTTAGATGAAAATTATCTGTTGGTTTAAGGTTGTAGCTTTTGGTCTTAGTTTTCCACTTAGGGGAAACAGAACATAGGTGACCAGTGAAAAAGCTCTGTTCTTCCTTGCAGAGAAGAGCTGCTCTGCTATGCTGTGGGGTCAATAGCTTGACTGTGTTTGTTTTATTATATATATTTTTATTTAATCGCTGCACTAGTTTTTAATCTTTTATTGGTTCTTTTCCAGCCAGTGCTTTGGAGCTGCTTATTAGCTCTATCCCTGTAATCCTAGATTTTTGCTGCTAAACTGTTAAATGGAAATTTAGCTTTAAGACTTGTGGGAATGCCTGTTGGTTATGACTGTGTTATCTGTGCAGCTGGCTATATGATTCTTTATCCTAGTGGGGAATTGTGAGTTGAGAAAGGTGGATTAGGGGAGCTGCTGGACAGCAAGTGTTTCTCACAGCATGCAAAGTGAGCATTTTATTTTAAAAGCAGTTCTGATGGCAACTGGGTGCATCTGATGGCAGCACAACACACAGCAAAGGCAGCATACAGCAGACACTGGGTATCTGCCTGGTGGATGGGATGAGATCATCTGTGGATTTCTTATTTTACTGTTAATTTTTCTATCTCTCAATTGAGATTCTGCCATAAACATTCTTTATTCAGTTGACATTTTAGTTCAGATTGCAAGTGAAAATAATCCCACTACCTTTTAATTTAATGAAAAAGGAACTAATTGTTAAAAATTATAGTGACACACTGAATAGCTGAATTCCACTGGGAAAAAGGAAGAAGTATTCCCTCAGGGTCTTTGTCATGGGAAGCCTTTAAAAGGAAAAAAGGAAATGCACGTAAGAAAAAAGTAGATCTGAGTGATTTTGAAGGTGGCTTTGCCAAGTGCTAATGGGAGACTATGGCAGGAATCTTTTCAAAGGACATGGAGAAGCAAATTTGTGCTTCTTGTGGTGTTAGTCTTCGTACTATGGTGCTGATTAACCAGGGTCACTTGAGTAGGACAACCAGGAGTAGTTCTCATCTTGGACGTAAGGGTCCATCTTCACCAGGACTCTGAAACTCTGCATAAATTTGAGTCCTCTTTGGCTCAGTGCTAAAGAGAAATGTGTTGGCACAAACCCAACACCACAACTCAGTGGGGCAGGAAGTGTTACTGCTGTTGAGAACTTTGAAGTGAATGAGTGAGGAAGAGCCAGAGCTACCACTCAACGTACAGAATTCAGGTAGCATTGTCACCATTGGCTGTGCTTGAGCTGGTCTTTGATGTGGTTGAGCATTTTCAGCTCCAAGAGTTAGTTAAGTTGGTTAAGCAATACATATTTTTTATTTATGCTTTTTTTGTCTCTCCCAATAAAAAGGCAACTGTTGAAAGGTAGGTACCTAGAAAGCCTAAGATCTCCTGCTAAGGAGGTTTAAGTTGTGCAGTAATGCACGTGACTATAGGAACTGCTGAGAAAGCTGAGTACTACCAGTGTGATATGGGCTGGTGCAGGACAAATCTCTCTTGTCTGAATTCTGTGTTATTGTGGGTACACGGCCATTGGTACCTGAGTTAGCTGCTTTAAAACTGGCTCAGGTGTGT